CCGGGCTTCTCAGCGCTAACGCCGAGCCGCGGCGATGCTGTTCGTGGCTGGAGCCAAGCCAGAGAGCTGTGACCGCGGCGGGGTCGGCGGAGGCGGTGTTTCCACTAACCCCCCGCAGACCACTGCGTGCCTTCCTTTTCCTACAACCCAAACGGGGCCAGGGCCCCTGGGTGGAGCATTGAGGGAGGCTGACCGCAGCCTTGAGAAGCAGCGAAAGGAAGAGCGCCCCGAGCGTGTCTACAGTAGACCACACACATCATGTGACGGACGTGTACCTTGATGCCTACGTGTGTTTATATGCACATGTGTGCGTCTGGGCATAGATCCATATGCACACAGAGACTGGCATGTGGGTGTGTACATGCACTCAAACATACACTTAATTTGGGTATGGACACCCAAGTGATTATACCACAGTATGCATAGACATATATGCAAATTAGCACAAACATGGACATGTGCACCCGCATACCCACATTCAGGCAACAGATACCTCCAAAAACAGCCGGGCATCAACTCCCAGACACGCGTGTCCTCAACCGCAAGGCCGTCACACCTTCCTCCTTGGACTTAGTCTCTGCATCTTCCCTTCCTGTTAAACCTAACCCAGGGTGAAGCAACATTGTGCTGTGTGGGTCTTTCATACAAAACACTTTATAGAGACAAATAACAGCAGAGGGACAGACAAATTAAGCGGTTTGTAATAGGCAAGAGGGAAAGTATCTACTTTCAACTGCAATTTAAAATGAAATGCAGCGTTGACGAGACAGAAAATACTGCAGGGAAGCCTTTGCCAACAGAAGAAGGGGGCCAGGCAGGCTCTCTCCTCGTAAATCTTGCTTCTTCCCTGAGGTCTGATGCGGATGGGCGGCTGGGACTCAGTCATCCTTCTACCTCTGGCCAGACAACTGACAGCAGACCCACCCTCGATGTTTAAATATCCCTGGCATGCAACTTTCTCTCAACTGAAAATGAAAGTGGGGTAACAGGTGCAAACATTTTGGTCACTGGAGATGACTAATCCTTCCCAATCCCACAAATACACGCAGCTTAAATATAAAATTCTAATTCAGATATTTCAATCTCTGGTGAGTTTGGTTGGCAGGTTGATATGGAACCAGCTGTGCATGTCAGAGATAAGCATGTGACCCTTTTGGGTGCAGGAGCCCAGAGACCTGGCCTGGCCTCACCCATGTCGCCAACACCCAAGCATCGTCTCACTGGGTCTCAGTGCAGGAAAGGGCAGCCATGTGTTTGGAGAACCAGGCAGGGAGCCAGCATTCATTAGAGTCGTCATCTGCATTGTTCCTCATTGAGAGTGTAGGGGAATCACTGTTCAGTCCCCTGTGAAGGTAGGATCCAGGAAGGGAGAAGAGCAGAGCTGAATCTCAGAAGGAAATGTCTGTTTGAACTAGATGCTCACTGTGATATGACACTCTGACCAAACTCTGCTATGCTCCGTGAGCCAGGGTAGAAAGTGGGACTGCAGCAAGACTGACGTGCCTTTCAAACTCGGGCTACGAAAACTAGAGGCCCCAGCAGGTAACTCCATTTCAAAGTGATGTGATGTTGGTGATCACACCAAGTTGTTGATACCATCACTTGCTAGGGAGATACCAGTCTCTCTCTAAAAAGCTCTCTGAAACCCTGGGTGTCCCCTTGCCCCACACCTCTAGCCCCCAGAGACCTCATACATCCCGTGGCTCTTCTCCCACTGACTTGTGACTATTGGCGTGCTTTCTCAAAGCAGGTGCTCCGTTCTTCACCATGGCTTGCTTACTTCTCTAACTCTCTAACTTAGCTAACTGCCCAGGTCTTAATCACAATGCCTTCCACATGGGCACTGTGTTTGCTCAGTAAATGAATGAAGAAATGAGTGAGTAGATGCCCATTTCACAGATGTGGAAACTGAGGCTCAGGGAATGGAACAACAGTGAACTAACATTTTCTATGTGCCAAATACATATTGTCTCATTTACTTTCCAGAATAATCTTTGTGGTAGATAATTATTAACAGCCCCATTTTACAGATAAGAATACCAAGGAGACTTGGGATGAGTTATAAGTATCTATATTAGAGTTCTCCAGAACAACAGAACCAATAGGCTATATACAGATATATAAGAAGAGATTTATTATGAGAGATTGACTTCTGTGATTATGGAAGGCTGAGAAGTTCCACAGTCTGCCGTCTGCAATCTGGAGGTCTAAAAAACTGGTGGTGTAGTTCAGTCCAAGCTAGGAGGCCTGATAGTGTAAATACTAGTCTGAGTCTGAAGACCCGAGAACCAGGAGAGCTGACGTCCAAGAACAAGAGAAGATGGATGTTCCAGCTCAAGCACAGAGCATGGATTTGCCATTCCTCTTCCTTTGTGTTCTGTTTGGGCCATCGGTGGATTGGATACTGCCCACCCACATTGGTAAGGGCAGATCTTCTTTACTCAATTTACTGATTAAATTACTAATCTCTTCCAGAAATTCCCTTACAGACACACCCAGAAGTGATGTTTTATCAGCTATGTAAGCATCCCTTAGCCCAGTCAAATTGACACACAAAATTAACCTTCACAGTATCTTTCTCAGTTTAATTCAGAAATTCAAACGGAACTGAGAACAGAAACAAACAGCTATTTCTAAAAATCTATTTATTCTGTCAACAAATCTTTATTCAAATTAGATGCAAGATATTGCACTAGTTTTGGACACAAAGGTGAGCAAAGCATGGTCCCTTGTTACTATCGATTAATTCATTCAGTAAAAAACTACTTATTGAACACCTGCTATGTGCCAGGTACAGAGAGGCAGGGGATACAGCCCTGTCACAGACGTGAAGCCTGCCTTCATGGAACTTCTTGTCTAAAAGGCAACAAACACAGACCAATCTGGCCCATCAGGAAGGGAACCCCCAGGCACCAGTGTTAGTGCTTCACTCACATCCTGTCTTACCCTCACAACAGCCCTCTCTGAGGTAGGTCTCAAGAACCCAGTCTAGCAGATGGGGAAATTGAGACTCAGGGTGTGATGTGACTTGTCCAAAGCCACATAGGGCAAATATGAGGGGAAATCAGGCCCATCTAATCACAGAATCTATGTGCTTTTTGTTAATGATATTAGCAACTACTAAGATTGATGGAGCACTTACTATGTGATTGAGCCCTTTTAAAAACATGTTAAAGACTAAACTGGCCAGGCACAGTAGCTCACGCCTATAATCTCAGCACTTTGGGAGGCCAAGGTGGGCAGATCACCTGAGGTCAGGAGTTCAAGACCAGCCTGGCCCACATGGGGAAATCCTGTCTCTACTAAAAATACAGAAATTAGCTGGGCGTGGTGGCATGTGCCTGTAATCCCAGCTACTCAGGAGGCTGAGGCACAAGAATCACTTGAACCTGGGAGTTGGAGGCGATAGTGAGCCAAGATCATGCCACTGCTCTCTAGCCTTGGTGATACAGTGAGGCTCTGTCTCAAAAAAAAATAATAATAATAAGACTAACTTATTTGATCCTTACAGCACCCCATGTGAGGGGTACCATTAAGCACAGAGATGTTAAGGAACTTACCCAAAGTCACACAGCTGGGAAGTGGCAGAAGAGAGATTTGAGCCCAGACAATCAGGATCCAGAGCCCTCTATGCCTGTCAGAGTCTACTGTCTCCCTCTTGTAATGCTGTGAGAGCAGGTTCTATAGGTAGTGAGAGCAAAGAAAGAGCACTGGCCTCAGGCAAGATCATCACAGGTTTGTTGGGAGGATTATGTAAGTTCATTCAGTTGTTCAACAAGCAGGTACAAGACACCTGATGTATATACCCAACCCAAGGCAATACACTAAGCTTTAGGGATATAGTAGTGAGAAAAAGCAGATACATTTCTCCCATCATGGAGCCTACAGTCTCATGGGGAAGATGAGTTTAAACAAATAACTTCCAAAGGAGTATGAGCTGAGATGAGAGAGAGGAAGGAGAGAGAAACATTGCCTTAAGAGCAGGCAACAGTGGACCTGGACCCAGGCTTCACTGGGTGGCCAGGGGAGGCTCCCCCTGAGGATGAGTGCAGTTACCTAGGCAGAAGGAGAGTGAGAATGCCCAGGCTGAGGGGGCAGCACAGGCAAAATCCCTGGGTTGGAGGGAACATGGTGCTTTTGAGAATAGAAGTCAGTAGGTCTGGAGTAGAGAAAATGATGGAGAAAGACAAGAAGTGATGGCGAATGAATTAGGGCAGGAGTGGGAGTGTGTAGGCAGAGGTGGGCGGGCAGATTCCAATGAATATTTTTAAAGGTTACTCTAGCTACAGTGTGGAAGGCAGAATGGAAGACAGGGGTGAATGAAGGGGGTACCTTTCAGAAGATATTGCAATAGTCTGTGCTAGACTTTTTGGGAAGTGGGAGATGGATAGCACCACAGGATCCAAACCATATTTAGAAGTCAAAATTGACAGGATCAGGTGATGGCTTGAACTTGGGCAGTGATGGAGAGGGAGGTATCTCCCAGGGTCTCTTTCGTGCCTGGTGGGGGTATTTGTTGAGATGGGAGCAGTGAACCAGGCTGTAAGGGACTCCCCTTCAGCTCTTGCACTGAGGCAGCTGGGCAGTTGGTGCAGAATCTGAATCTCAAATGGTCATTAGTCTCATTTAGAATCGAAGACTAGAGATAAAGCCAAGCTCGAGCCAAGAGATAATCATCAAGCAGCTTCCTTAATAGCCACCAGACAAATTTGGCACTGGGCAGAAGAGACACTGATGACTGTTGGAGGGGCTGCACCCGTGAGAACACACCAAGTTAGTCCTGAGAGACAAAAGGCCCTGCAGCCATCCTGGCCTCACCCCAGCAGGCTGCGGGATCCAGTCAATACCTCACTGTGCAGTAGGGGTCAATTTCAGGGTCATAGAACCAGGAACACCTGGCATGAGGCTTTTAAAATGACAGCGTAAAGGTTTTGTTTTAACTCTTCTTACCCGAGTCCCCAGTCCTGCAGCAGAAGCAGCGGTCAGCTGGGGCTTTGCCATGGGTCCTAGCACTGGGTGCCTAGTGGTTAGAGCAGGGGAGCAGAGGTTGTCTATCGGGGGCAATTTTGCCCTCAGGGAATATTTGGTGATTTCTGGAGATAATTTAGATTGTCACAACCGGGGGCGGAGTGCCACTAGTGGGTGGAGGTCAGAGATGCTACTGCACATCCTGCAATGCACAGCACAGTCCCCCACAACAAAGAATTATCGGGTCCCAAATATCAGTGGTGCAAAGGGTAAGAAACCCTGGCTCCAAGCCAAGGCTGTGAGGTCAGACAGGTTCGGGTCTGAAATCCTGGTTTTACCACACATTTGGCTGGTTGATCTTGGGTAATTTGTGTGACCTCTCTGAGCCTCAATTTCTCCATCTGTCAAACGGGATTAATAGTGATACTCACCTCAGAAAGATGATGTGAGGATTAGATAAGATCACTGGCAAAGAGCTTGAGGCAAATGTTTACTCATCCTTTGAGTGAGCGGGTCTACTCCCAAAGCCAAGTCCTTAGTATGCTGGAGAAGGGAACATGGAGTGGTAGGAATGAGGACCCTGCAGCCACAGTGCCAGCTCTAAGCCTGGACTCAGTCACTTACTAGCAGTGACACCTTGGGAAATTGCCCACTTTTTGAAGCCTGAGTTTCCTCATCTGTGAAATGAAGATGATCATAATGCCCATGATGTAGGATGGATATGAGGACTTAGGAGCTAATTTTTGTAAATATCTCAGCATAGTGTCTGGCACACAGCAGCACTCAATAAATATGAAGTAATGTTACACAAGACAAAAAGAATCAGCACTGCTTCACTTCCTAGTGGCAGGCAAGATAGCAACCCAAACTGCTATATTGTAACTCAGAGCTTTGAGAGATGCTAGAATTTCAAATACTCTGTCCATGGTCCCTATGAGAACTTTCACTTGTCAGACTGTACACACCGCTTTTTCATTTCAGAAGATATGATCCCTGTTTGGACGATATTTCATTTCAGAAGATATGATCCCTGTTTAGGAAGCCCTGTGGCGCTAAGCGCTGCTCAGAGAAGCCCCTCCTCTCCAGGAGTTTCGAGATCATTCAGCCCAATGGTGGAATGTTGCGGATGTGCAATTTAAGGATCAGAGCCTGTAAGTAACTTGCAGCTGGAGGCAGAGCAGACGCTGGCTAGCAGTACTTAAGAATCCCAGCTGAGGCTGCTTCCGCACGCACAGGAAGGCATCAAGGTTCTTCTCGTTCCCATGGTCCTGGGTTATGTTTACCTCACTGACATTGTGAGGATAAAATGAAATAATCCATATTAATGTCTAAACAGTGTGCCTGGCATATAGTAGGAACTAAATGTTAGCTATTATTATTTACAGTCCTGGCACTTTTTAAAGGGCATGTAAAATAAATATCTTTGATTCTCATAAAAATACATTTCCAAAAGCTTACATCAAGCACCATAAAGCCAGAAATAAAACAGTCTCTTTAAAATGCAACCCTGACGTAATTTAGTCACCTGGTTCCCCTTGCTAATATCAAGGAGTTTTTGTTTGTGTGTGTCTGTTTTTTAAATGTCCATGAGTTGAGGCTCCAGGTTCTACGCAGTGTGTCAAAGTATCTGCCCCTCTAGGGTTAGAATGGTAAGAAGGGCTGAAGGCATCAGCCAGGCATTGCTGGGCGAACACCACCCGGACCATACAATCACGGGAAGTCCCCTTAAAACTTATCCCCTGTGCCATTCAAGTTTTTTTCTAGAAGCAGATTAATAAGCCAGAGTGGCAGGAGGGCATTGTGGTTGTAGCTTTGATTCTCATAAATCCACGTTCGAATCCAAGTTTTGCCTCTTCAGGGACACGTAACCTTGAGCAAGTCTCCTCCTCTGTTTGAGCATCAGCTTCCTTAGCAGTGATGATAGTACTCAACTCAGTATGTTAAATGTTAGTATTATCAGAAGAAGTAAAGCATAGCCAGTTGAAGATTTGAGGTTGATATAGGAAAGAGAAGAAATATTGGGGTTTGAAGAAGGAGTCTCATGTGTTATCTTACTTGTTCCCAAGTCCCACTTCTGCCACTTGATTGGGTGACCTCGGCAGGTCACTCATCTGTCTTAGACCAGTTTTTCCATCTGCAAAGAGGCCCATAATACCTTAAATGAGATGACCCACGGGCAAGCACTTTGTGAGTGATAAAGCCAAGAAGACATATTCATTAGCGCTGTGATCCCTTTTCAGAAAGAATTGTCAACATTCCACAAATATTTATTGTGACCCACACATGATATTAAAAAAGTTTAAACATATCCTAATATTTAAATTTTTAAATTAAAAATTTTAAACATACCGTATTTCTTACTTTATTCCATTCTATGTTTTAAAAATTATTCTATTCTATGTATTTTAAAGAAATAAAAAAGCTGCACGGAGCTAGTCATTTTGCCCTCTTGGCCAAAACGTTCCAGATCGCTGCCTTTGGGGCACTTGGTAAGATTGCCCGCCCCCTTGTGGTTGAGTGGAGCCGTGTGACGAGTTGTGGCCAATAAGCTGTGAGCAGAAATGACAACTGTCACTTTGAGGCCCAAGCATTTAATTGAGGGTGCCATATCCTCTAGAGCTGC